GGAATCCATAAAGCATTTTACAGTGTGAACTAAAGTTTACACCAATCTGCTGAAACAATAAACATTTACATTGCAGCCTGAACATAAATTACATTGGCTTTAGTTTTATATAGGGACATAATGTAGCACGGTAAATATTGTAGGTTTCAAAAAGACACAAAAAGTCACATATTGTTTTTATAAAAAAAAACAGAATGAAAACAAAAGCTCCATCCCATACAATAGTTATCTAAACTCTGGCTCCTCCACTAACATCTTTCTAATGTCTCCTGACTATGGACATTAAATAATTTTATTCATTCTTATAACTAAACCTAAAATGTAACAAGCTGCAAACTGGCAGCTCTGTATTGCAGAAGAGACCGCTTAGAAACACCTGCTGTGTGTTTTACATTAGAAGACTGGCAGACTGCATACACAGTAATATGAAAAAAAACCAGTGCATCTATTGTGAACTTTGAAGACAAATGTCCCCACAATGCCTATGTGGGTAAGTGCAGTGTGGTGCAGCGGCAGTAAACACATGAGGGAAGATTTACTAAAACTGAAGCACTCAGAAACTGGTGCAGCTGTACATGGTAGCCAATCAGCTTCTAACGTCAGCTTGTTCAATTAAGCTTTGACAATAAAACCTGGAAGCTGATTGGTTTCTATGCAAAGCTGAACCAGATTTTGCACTCTCCAGTTTTAGTATATAACCTCATGGAGTCCAATTGCAAATAACAGAACTTTTTGAGAACTATTGAAATCACGGTCCAAAGATACAAACAGCCCAGTAGGACACTGTAAAGGGAACAGTCACAGTTCTGAGCAGCAATGCAGAGCAGAGCAGGTCCTGAGTGCTGACAGTGCCTGTCTCTGAGGGTGGAATGTGGCCTTGCCGGCCAATGTCCATTTGGGAGGATTCCTGTAAAGGATAGCATGTCTATATCCTACTGTTATTCACTTTCCTTGACAGATGGTTACCCTGTCCCTTCACTGTTCACTTGCAAAATGCGCACCAAACCCAGGAGCCAAGGTCTTAAATAGAGTCTGCTCAACCCAAGATGGCTGCCAGAGTCATATGGGGTGGCAGCATCCAACCGGATCACTTCCCCAGTGACCCAAGTACTCATAGAGGAGCAGGTTCCTTCTGACTTCCTCTCCTCCTGCAATGCCGCTGTGGTTGAGCTCCATCTGCAGTGGAGAAAGGAGACTGACCCTGGCTGCACCCAGAGTTACAGAGGTCAATAAAGGCTTGTTGTAAAGTGCTTTTACTGCTTGTTGTGGTGTGGTTGTAGATCGCATAATAAAGGATCCTGAGTATCTAAACAGGGTTCTTGGGAAAAACTCAGTGTCCACCAAAAAAGAAAAGGGAGGCAGGAGTACAGTAGATTAATTCAGAAACAAGAATAAAATGGTTCCACAGTAAAATGAAAAAGGTCAAATGGACTCACCACTATTGTGGCTGCAGAGGGGGAATATGCAGCCTTCCTACTGTATGGGTGAGGAAAACCTGTCTCCAGGTCAGTGTGATTGCTCTCTATGTCTCGGCATTCCCATCTTGGGTGCTCTGTGGGGTTCTCAGGTGGATTAACAAATTGGTAGGAAGAGTCAGTTAAAAAAAAAGCCCATTGGTATTTCAATTGACAGAGGCACCCGATGTGGATAGGCAGAAGTCGTCTGCTTTAGTAAAACATCTGATCACTTTATTTCACCAAATAAAATGTCTTTTATGACTTCAAATTGCCTACATGTGATCCACCTAGATGACATCACTGCCACAAATTTTACACCAACTTTATCATCTTGAACTGAGTAAGTGTCAATTTAAAGCCACAAAACACATTTTATTCAGTGAAATAAAGCTATTGGATGTTTTTCTAAAGCAGATGACTTTAGTAAAATGATTTCAAAGCATTTACATTAGCTGTGAAAAAAAAGTTATGGAATTAACATATGATGCCATTTTAAGATGCTGTTCCCCTAGCAACCTATGAAAGACTAAAGCTGTGAAACTATTTCACAATGGATACAACTGTCATCATCTCGAAACTGGGACAATAAAATAGACACCACTATTAGAAAATATGTATTATAAAAAACATGCAGATAATTCAGCAGAGAATAGAACTCTACACATGGTCAGCTCTTTTAGGGCTCGTTCACACTTGACTGTTTTACCAACTCTTGCCAAACGCCCCTATATAGCGTTTGGCAAGCATTGGTCCGGGGTTTGCGGAGCGTTTTTTAACGTTCGGCAAACGCTCCGCAAACGCTGCATGCGCGGTTCAGCGGCAGTTTCTAGGCGTTTGCCAGCATTAAAAACGCCCTACAAACGCCTATAATGAAGTTTGAATGGTGTTACCACTCCGCAAACGCCCCGAAACTGCGTCGCAACCACACCGCAAACACCAGTCGTTTGCGGAGCGGCACCATAGACTAGAATAGGAGGCTTCAACACCTCCTGACTCGACCAGGAGGTGTCCGTTTTGCCGCAACACGATGCTAACGCTCCCGTTAGAACAGCACCATGTGCTGCAATGTGCAGAATTGTCTGAGGCATTTGGGAAGCGGTAAAAATGCTTCCCGAACGCCTTTCTGCCGCCTGCGCACAACGCTAGTGTGAACGTAGCCAAGGGCCAAAATAGTGACTTTAGTGGCATGTCACAATCTCTTCTTCTTGTAATCTTGTTAGATGGAATAACTACACAAAAAAATACTGCACTAAAAGCCACCAAACAAAAATAGTGACTAAATAGAAAAAGTGACAATTCCAAATGTCCAACTTGAAAGTCTGTGTGAAATTGCTTCTAAAAGGGAAGAATGAGTCTTCAAATGAATCTATTCCATTGTGACCCACTTCCAGCAAAAGGAGACCTAAACCAAATGGATATACTCTCATATCAAGAGTCATATCATGATTGTTTTAAAAATCCATACGGGTCCTCGTTCAAAATGACCTCTGTATACCAGGCAACATCTCCACTGCTCCTGCCAGGTTAAAGCGGTAGTAAACCGCGCCATTAAAGAAAAAACAAATCTCCTTCAAGGCAATGGCATAATGTGCTAGTATGCAATTGCATACTAAAACATTATGAAATACTTAGATTAGAAAAAAGCACTCCAGAGGCACGCTGTCCCCGCTAACAGGGCTTCCATCTTCACTCAGTCTTCCTTTCAGGTTCACGGGCTCCAGCGGCTTGAGAGGCTGAGCCGCGATGATATCACTCCTGCGCATGCGAGACACAGGCCAAGGTACAGCACTCTGAAGGAACCGCATGGGTATGCCGTTCCTTCAGAACACATGTGCCAGTGATGTCACCGGCTGCATAAGAGCTAATATCTCCTACACGATACACATTTAGGAGCTATTCATTTTACCTACTGGTAAGTTTTTTTATAAGCTTACCTGTAGGTAAAAATCACAGAGGGGACTTTACTACCACTTTAAGGACACATGCACACAGGTAAGTACCCAAAAGAGAGAATAACATGCTCCACAAAGTATGAAAACTGTAGGATGTTATTCAAATAATGATAAAAATACACTCACATATGAATAAAAAAACAGCACTGTTTAAAACCCTCAAACATCTGAATATACCGCACTTCCGACTCACTTTTGGTGGAACATGATGACGTCACAGAAGGCTCTGCCCTACTTGTTTTGTCACAGATGATGTCTTCCAGGGCATTTTGAATATTCATTCATGCCTTTCAGTAGTAATTTCACAAGGACTTTCATATTGGACATCTGGAATTGTCACCTTTTCTGTATAGTCACAATTTGTGTTGGTGTTTTTTAGCGTAGAACATTTTTGTGTACTTGTATATTGCTATGTCAAATATCTCACAGAATGCCTACTGCTCTTATTGATTTTGTCTTTTGTTTCCACAAACGCGGTAACCACTTTTTGTTTTTATTAAGATGGAATGATAGTAGGGCAACTTCAACCGATGGCACTGCAAATTAAAATAAAGAATTATTGATCACAAATGTAATTACAATAGAAACTAGTAAAAGACATTTTGCAAAGCATTAGAGCAGGAGTCTCAAAACTACAGCCCAGAAACCAAATCTGACCCCCTTCAAGATTTTATCCGGCCCTTGCATGTAAGAAGGGACTCTGATGGGGTGACTCTGATGTAAGGGGATTCCAATATAGGGGGGACTTTGATGGGGATGAGTTCAGGTTTATTTGGAATTTATTCACGTTGTGTTACTGAAAGTTTTTTTCTGTTGTTCTAGATCATATCATACTGATTACAAAAGAACCCAAGTAAAACGTATTAATTCATTTAAATTTGATTTGTTCATTTATAAAACTGTTTTTTTCGTACTGGGAATATTTGTAAAATATATCATGTGGCCCTCCTACTGAAAAGTTTGGATACCCTTGCATTAGAGCAACAATGAGAGGCATTTTCTACCTTTTCTAAACAAAACATTATTTACAGCAATACACTGAACTATAAAAATACCTCCTATATTTTACTGACAGCTTGCATACATCTGAAACGTTATGGAAATAGTATCATAGACAGAGTACAAAAATTCTAAATATATGGAAAGAGCTTCTGGTAAAATAGTGGTTTAAAGATTACCATCAAAAATGAACACACCTACATTCACGTAAGCACGGGCCCCATTAATATTTAAGCTAGAGTTCTTGTAAAATTTTACTTCAAATATCTTTCAAGGATTCCATCACTTAACTGTCGTCTTTCTAGTTTTACGTGATGTCATATGGAGGACTGAACTCATAAAATACATCTGACACTTTTTACTACATTTTAAGTGTATATATAACAGATCCTTCGACATTGGATTGTTTTCAGCGCCAGATGGAATGATCATTCAGTACGTTTATATCATAGCATAGTACATATTATATCAGAAAATAGCCATGAGTCAGTCAACATTGGGCAACAGTAGTTGTCCGGAAAACTCCACTATATGCACCGGTTCATCCTGCTTGATGCCCCCTGACAACTACAACAGAATACTTAGCACCGTCATGAGTGCCTCTATCACAACCCTGTTGGCGCTGGTCATGTTTTCTTTGGGATGCAGTGTGGAATTTAGAAAATTCTGGGGTCATATAAGATATCCATGGGGTATCATAGTAGGATTCCTCTGTCAGTTTGGAGTTATGCCGATTGCAGGTTTTATACTAGCAAACATATTCAATGTCCACCCACTTCAAGCTGTGGTGGTGCTTATCATGGGATGTTGCCCAGGAGGAACCGGCTCCAATATCTTGTCATACTGGGTGGACGGAGACATGGATTTAAGGTAAGACAATGGGAACATTTTAATCACTTTTTAAGGTTTTATTTTAATTCATAAACTTTTTTCTTTAATTCAAAATATACGTCCATGAATGCGCTTATATATTATTACTAGGAGATTCCATACAAACCTAATATGTCAGTAGTGGAACGTGGTCAATACATTGAATCAGCCACTGATATACTTCACATAAAATGAAAAAAAAAATTTAAAGGGAAGTAAGAACCTGCCCAACCATGTCAGATAGGTGTTTGAAATTTTAAGTTTCAAAAGGCTTTAAATGGCTCCTGAAGTGTAGGAAATCCCCTTTTAACTAACCTGAATCTGTTCTTGTGTCAAAAAATTCCCTATCCTCTTCAGCCTCATTATTTTATGTTTAATCCATGTTTATTAAGACGTTTTCACAAATACAAAGAGACCAGAACAAGACATAGCTAAAAAATAGAGTCAATATTAGATATATGCATTGACAAGAGCAATCAATGGTTGCACAACCTATAAAATGAACTTGAGAAATATTTCTACACATCTCGACTACCCATATATGTGTGAAATATATTATCTTAAACTTAGACATATAGCCAAAGAAAAAAAGAAAGTGATGGTACATATACATATACACTCTGAGACAGACTAAGATGTAATCTGGCCCCTGGAGTATACAGATATGGAAACTAACAGGAGCCTCATTAAACCTATATTGTAAGAGATATTCATCAGGGGGGTTAAAACTTATAATCACTGCTATTGAGATTTTCTGTCACTAAGAGAATGGGAGGTCAGTGCTCACCAAGTATGTATTGCTATGAGGAAACACAAAGGAGGGTAGGTATAGAGAAGAAAGGGTTGAAGATAATCTAGAAAAGAAAAGAGAGAGAAGGAAAGGGGGAGGGGGGGCATAGGGTTATAAGGAAGGGGATAGTGGAGATAAGGTATGGGGAACGGAGCCTGATGCCACCTCCAGCACTCTTTTGCCCAAATCACAAATGAAAGTCAACATATGATTGCCCTATACACAAAATGAGGGTCAATCAATTGAAATACTAGCTTCATTATTTTATGTCTTTTTGTTTCACAGCACAGCAAGGAAAAAATTAGATTGTGAATAGAAGTAAAACTAAAAAATAAATATTAATACTACGGTATAAAAAAAACAATCAAATACACAAAAAAAAACCCAAATCACTAAATGAAATGGACTAAACTACTCTATGAACCCCCATACACAAAACCACACCTTCTAAAGAAAAAAAAAAGTTCAAGCAAATTTCATCTAAACAGTTCAGTGAGGGAATCTGAAAATATTTGCGTTGGTGAATTTTTTCAAATGTCTAAATTAATGTATTCTAAATCACGCCACTCATCTATGGTAGATGTCATGACCATAAACACATTTATCTGATTAACAGAACACTATAAAACAACAGTACAGATTGACTATGATAAGTCACAGTAGATAAGACACTTAGATAAGTTACACTTACGCACCTAAAGTGTTACTAAATCCGCAACAGTAAAATTAATCTGTATATGCAGTAGAGCATGTGTGCTATACTCACTATGGAACTTAAGGGGTTACTCCTCTGCATTGTGTAAAAAGGCTGTTTGATCCTGTCTTCTCTGATCCTCCCCTTCTTCTACTGTCCCCAATCCATCTTCTGATAGAACAGAGCCTTGGGAGCTAGCTGCACATGCTCATTTTGGTGTGTATTGCTAACTCTTTTTTTTTTCTTGGGAGAGTGCTTGTGATGAGCACTGTCCAGACAGAGGGTCAAGGGTTATGCAGCCTCATAGGACAGTCAGTGGAGAATGAAAACTCCTCCTACAAGCTTTAACTAGTGCTCTGCTGGAAACTGATAGAAGTCACAAGACTGCTCTAAGTGCTGATGAGAAAAAGGTACTTAGCAGTTTATAGTTACTAAAATAATTGCATTTCCATTTTCTGTTTACTGTGGCAGACCAGATATAGTGAATGCATGGATTTAGTAACACTTTGGGGTTTTATTTACTAAAACTGGTTCACTCAGACTCTTGTGCACTTCTGCACAGAAACTTATCAGCTTCTAACCTCAGCTTGTTCAAGCTTTAGCAATAAAACCTGGAAGCTGATTTGTTTCTATGCAGAAGTGCATGAGATTCTGAGTGAACCTGCTTTAGTAAATAAAGCCCTTTAAATCACATGTAATTTACACCTGTCATGATTTTTGAGAACTTGGCAGTATATGTTGTACAAATGACTGCAACAGATATGCTAGGAATACCATAATCTGGCAAGAATGTTTCTGTTAATTTCCATTGTTCCTGTGTGCCCTATGTAGTAATAAACATGACAGCATTTCACAGCCAGATTGCACATTGTGGCAAACAAATTGATTGGTTTGTAATATCTGACTGTCCAGTAATGTTTTAGGGTCCATGCACACTAGTGGCAGAAAACCTCTTCTCAATTTTTAGTGTACACTTGAAAATGCTGAATGCTCCTAAACACTGCGTTTATGCATGATTATGAGCATCAAGCATTTCTTCTGCCCAAAAGCGTCTCTCAAAAATGCACTTGTAATGGTTTTTTTCAGCCTTCAAATTCTCCTCTGCAAATATGCCTCTAAATGCCCTAATGGTGCATGGACACATAGGCTAACATAGAGTTGCTTATATAGACTAATGAAAAAAAACTCACTAAATGCCTGCATAAGCAGTATTTTTTATGTCCGGTATGCATGAGGCCTAAAGTAATGCTTAAACACCCATTTCAATGCACAAGATTATAACACACTTATCCCAGTGAGCCCCAATACCACCCTTTGCTGATTTTGATAGTATAGACACCAAAACCAATCTAATGCTTACAGTGAATGGGAGGTTTTAGCAGGCTTAATAATGTTGTAAATTTGATAGCACCTAATCTCTAAGAGGAGAGGCCGATATTTAGATGGAACAAATGGCTCCCAATAGTGCAAACTACACATGTAGCACATAGTAGCAATTCATTTCAAAGCACAAAGCTTTGAAAGCTACTTATCTAATTGACATCATAGGCGGACATTTGTTCTGTCTTTGCAGCGATCAATCACTTATTGTTAGTGATTTTGGAAGCTATCCTTTGTAGCTCTATCTCCTGTGTAGTTCTAGCATCAATCTGGCCATGCACATGACAATTTTCAATACATTTTAACCAGCAGAAACTAAGAATCTACTGCCCACAAGTTTGAATTGGTTGATTGTGATATGAAAACTGCTGAATACATGTGCAGCTTTAATATGTTCTTTTTGTTCTTAAATTTAAAATGGAACCAAAACTGGTAAAAACAACAGCTTGTTTTGTGTATGACCACAATAAGGGTAGAGATTAGACCATCCTGCATATTGTGCAGTATCTATAAAAGAAGGGGAATAATAAAGCAAGGTGTGTAGATTATTTACTTTCTCAACACCTAAAATAGTATATCTCATTCTGTTTGATGATAGAAATGACCCTTCATATACACTGCTTGTAACTGAATTTTAAATCTTTTTTTTTATCTAAATAAAGGACTCTATCTCCTTAGATAACATTTGTGGCAGCACTTGTGATAAATACATGATGCCTTATCTACATTATCAATTTCAATACATTCGTAAGATTCTATAAAAAAAACAGATAGGCAGAAAAGGCCACAGGAAATTTTCCTTTACAATAATTCTTGGTATCTACATATCGCTAAAAGAAATGTTCTGTTAATATTCAACAGCTTTTGCACTATGGGGAATATTGTGTCAGTGAAATCCACCACAGATGATTGTAGCATAATGACCCTGGAACACATACACTAGTAAAACAAAAAAGAGCCTCTCTATCTCTGACTGTTTTAGTTCAGCAGTTGTGTTTGCCAGTTTCCAAAAATAATGTTTTGCCTGAAACTTAGAAACAAGTCCACCACTTTTGCAGTATGACACCTAGCTCTTTGAATCATGTAGTAGGATATGGTTGGTGTACATGTTGTCAAAAGTGCCAAATGTTAGTACAGCACTTTATAAATAGGTTTCAAGGTTTTACATCCTGTTTGTAAATATGATCATGCAAGCTCTTCCTTAAGTGCATCTTACAGGTGAAACTCGAAAAATTAGAATATCATGCAGAAGTTCATTTATTTCAGTAATGCAACTTAAAAGGTGAAACTAATATATGAGATAGACTCATTACATGCAAAGCAAGATAGTTCAAGCCGTGATTTGTCATAATTGTGATGATTATGGCTTACAGCTCATGAAAACCCCAAATTCACAATCTCAGAAAATTAGAATATTACATGCAATCAATAAAACAAGGATTGTACATAGAACAATATCGGACTTCTGAAAAGTATAAGCATGCATATGTACTCAGTACTTGGTTTGGGCCCCTTTTGCAGCAATTACTGCCTCAGTGCTGCATGGCATGGAAACTATCAGCCTGTGGCACAGCTGAGGTGTTATGGAAGACCAGGATGCTTCAATAGCAGCCTTCAGCTCTTCTGCATTGTTTGGTCTCATGTCTCTCATCTTTCTCTTGGCAATGCCCCATAGATTCTCTATGGGGTTCAGGTCAGGCGCGTTTGCTGGCCAGTCAAGCACAGTAATCCCACGGTCATTGAACCAGGTTTTGGTGCTTTTGGCAGTGTGGGCAGGTGCCAAGTCCTGCTGGAAAATGAAGTCAGAATCCCCATAAAGCTCGTCTGCGGAAGGAAGCATGAAGTGCTCCAAAATCTCCTGGTAGACGGCTGCGTTGACCCCGGACTTAATGAAGCCCAGTAGACCAACACCAGCAGATGACATGGCTCCCCAAATCAACACAGACTGTGGAAACGTCACACTGAACTTCAAGCATCTTGCAGTGTGTGCCTCTCCATTCTTCCTCCATACTCTGGGTCCTTGGTTTCCAAATCAGATGCAAAAGTTGCTCTCATCAGAAAAGAGGACTTTGGACCACTGAGCAACAGACCAGGTCTGTTTTTCTTTAGCCCAGGTAAGACGCTTCTGATGTTGTTTGTTGTTCAAGAACGGCTTGACAAGAGGAATACAACATTTGAAGCCCATGTCCAGGATCCGTCTATGTGTGGTGGCTCTTGATGCACTGACTCCAGCCTCAGTCCACTCCTTGTGAAAGTCCCCAACACTTTTGAATGGCCTTTTCCTGACAATCCTCTCCAGGCTGTGGTCATCCCTGCTGCTTGTGCACCTTTTTCTTCCACACTTTTCCCTTCCACATAACTTTCTATTAATGTGCTTTGATACAGCACTTTGGGAACATCCAACTTCTTTTGCAATTACCTTTTGAGGCTTTCCCTCCTTATGGAGGGTGTCAATGATAGTTTTCTACACAACTGTCAGGTCAGCAGTATTTCCCATGATTGCGATTCCTACTGAATCAGACTGAGAGACCATTTAAAGGCTCAGGAACCCTTTGCAGGAGTTATGGCTTAATTAGCTGATTAGAGTGGGACACTTTGAGCCTAGAATATTGCACCTTTTCACAATATTCTCATTTTCTGAGATTGTGGATTTGGGGTTTTCATGAGCTGTAAGCCATAATCATCACAATTATGACACATCACGGCTTGAACTATCTTGCTTTGCATGTAGCGAGTCTATCTCATATATTAGTTTCACCGTTTAAGTTGCATTACTGAAATAAATGAACTTTTGCACGATATTCTAATTTTTCGAGTTTCACCTGTATATCTCTTAGAGAGTCCATTGAAAAGATTTTCATTGAGCAATTTGTGTTTTATAAGCTATCCCTACTTATGCACATTAGCAAGCTTTGCATGGTCAAGTGATCCTGAGAACTATAACAGTGATACCATGGCAATCATTAGGGCCGTCCATGCTAAGATTTAAGGGTTTCATCTGTCCCTCCACATTTAAGGCTGGCGTAGTACTAATATTTCCATACTGTAAAAAAATGTGTTGCAAAGCCCAGAAATAAAATCTATAGAATGTAGCAGGTATGTTTGTTTGGGCACTATGGGCGAAAACCTTACTTCTTTTTCTTTCAATCTTTTCTCCAGCTTTTTATAAATTTACCCCTATATTTACCTTGATTGGTAACAGATACTTTAAGGAAGCTTTAGAAAAGATTTACGTGACTTTCACATGAGTGATGCCATTAGGTCCACCTGTCAGTTTTTCAGGCGGACCTGATCGGATGGTCCATGTAACCCTATGAACCAGCCTACACCTGCCTACCTTAAATCTGATCCAGTCCACTAAAGAAAATGTAAGGGGATCCATTCCCTTCCTTCTATGCAGATCGGATCAAAGGGCAGTCGGGTGTAAATGGACAGCCGGTCCACTTATACCCAACCACCCATAGAGCAAAGCGGGCTGTGTCCATGTCCACTCTGCAGAAACTGAGCAGGGGATCAGTGGATAGATCATTTGCTTGATCATAACAGAGTTCGCTCTGTTTGAAAGGGGCCTATGACAATTATTAAGCATGTAGGTATAAAGAGCAATGACAATGCACAAGGAGGGGAATTTATCTAAACTGGAGCAGACAGAGCATCTGTTCAACCAATCAGCTTCTATCCTCAGCTTGTTCAGTAAAGCCTAACTCCAAGTTTATAGATCCCTATTGATGCCGCGCTGCCTTAACAAATATTAATCCCTCAATATACATAAAAATAAAATAACAATATATTTTCTAAAGTGATCCAGCATGAAAAAGTCCACAAGTCCATTTATAAGTGCTCTTTTAAATCTCCAAACAAAATTCTTCTACATATGTCTTGGAGTTAAACCCAAAACTCCAGTGCTCCAAGTATGTGCATAGGAATTATTAACCAAACTCCAGTGCACAACAACTCTGTGACTGCTTCATGATTGCTAATTAGTTTAATCTAACTCAGCTCCAGCTTGGCTCATACAAAATTATTTAAATTAAAAGTAAACATGGAGTTAGGATTTAAGCTTTGAAAATTAAAGATAGAAGCTGATTGGTTGTTATGCACAGCTGCTCCAAATTCTGGCTGCTCCAATTTTAATAAATAGACTCAGGATGCAATAATCCATAACAAGTAGATTTCAATTTAATGTAGTAATTTGGGTGAAAGATTCATTTTTAATCACAGGTACAAATTACTGCATTTTGCTCTTTGTCTTGCTAAGTCATTAAAAAAGTTATATTGATGTGTCAGTGGAGGAAATCCACACATATGCTTCTAATTTGGCTGTTGACTCTTCCTAGGGTACAAGCAGTAAGCTATAACATATTTTCATTTGGTTTTATTCACAGTTTAAGTATGACCACCTGCTCTACATTGTTTGCTTTGGGCATGATGCCTTTATGTCTCTTTTTGTACTCCAAAAAATGGGTTGATTCAGATTCCATCATTATACCTTATGATACTATTGGTAAGTATACCAATATAAACTGTATTGTTTGCTGTTATTATTATTATATAATACAGAAATTATAGCGCCAACAGTTTGTGCAGCATTTTACAATATAAATATTTAATTACGGGTGTACTCAAACATGCCACATCCCTATTTTCAAATAGAGCAGACTATTTTTTCCCTTTAGTGGGATTTTAAAGGCATATGTATCATAACAAATCAAAAAGTGTATTTTTCTAAAAGAACATCATATTTATTAGCATACAAAAATAGTTTTTAAAAGAGAACACATATATGGTTTACAGATTAATGTATCTCAAAACCTGTAATAACAAAGGATTGTATAGTTCATGTGTCTTCATATACCCTTCACCCGACGCGTTTCAGAGACTTGTAACTCTTTCTTCAGAAGTATTAAGGGTTTCAAATCTCTCCAATACAATTGGACATATATTATATTACACACATCATTCAATACAAAAATTTGATACACACATATGTATACATACATATGCAATGCATTACTTATAAATTGACAGGAATACATGAGAGCAGGGAGCCGTACAGATAAAGATAAAAACGATGAGTGAGAATTTTACCATTCCATGGAAATGAACCCAAGGCGGCAAGAAGACCCAAACTATCTTACAGAAGAAGGGAGGAAAGAACAGGCAACATCTACTGGGGCCAGGAAATGGACCCTAGAAATAAATGTATACAGGAAAAAGATTTTATTGACAGGTCCCACATTATTTAAATTGTGTATCCAAAATGGCAAATCACAGTAGAGACATGTTATATATGTTAAGAGGCCATTATTCATACCCATAATGCAGCAAATTTGAAAAATGTTGAAAAATTGTCTTCTAAAGTTGAGCAGTAGTCAGAAAGACTTCAAAAAAGAACATTTCAGGAAGACAGATATATGCCTTCAATATATTCATATAAAATATATATATAAATATATATATATATATATATATATATATATATGAATAATATTAGTGGGCAAAAAGAAATGCAACAACATATTACTAATGTCTAAGTATTTATAGCCCTTGCTGACCAGAAATCTGTGGTATCAACTCCAAGTGGAGATTAAAAAAACAAATTTGAGGCAGATATATAAATAACTAAAGGGAAGGGCATCTATATGCATAGATCTTGATAGCCACCCATCATACTTCTAGTGAATTTGTTCACAAACGGCAAAAAATTTAAATAGATAAACCATCCAGGAGAGGAAAAGAGTATTGTAACAACAGCCAAGCTCTGATAGTTTGTTTGTCTGTTCAATATAATGGTCTCAATCTTACCCTGCTAGTTATGGGTTCTTAGCACAACTGATAGTCCCTCCTTGTGGCGGCGGTGATGTGCGCCCAACCTTATGTGGATGCCCCTTATATAGGCTTACTATTGTCCCCTTAGTACATACACCTGGTGTGGCAAAGAGGGGGATCCACTCCCCATTGGCCCCCTGGGTGGGCTGCACATGGCAGTGCCCCACGCTGATCCGAGGCCCACTGCGGGACCATGTGCGGGCACTTCAACATTGAAGAATAACATCACGTGCCACCTGCCCACCTGCACGCATGCACCGCACACCTAATAGACGTAGTGGATACGTAGGAGGGGGAGGAGCTGGGAGGCCAAAGCCAGACCATTTGTCCACATTCCCCAGTCCTGCAGCCAGGAGATGGCCTGACAGAGCATGCGTGCCGAGCATGCAGCAATCACTAGCAATTCCTCAACCAGACCATGCGAAGCCGAAACTCTGCCATCCCTGGACTAAAAGACAAAAAAGGGGGTCATGGTGAAATCCTCACTCAAAAGTCAAAAAAGAAAGAAAAAAAAAATATGTAACATAACCTAAAAAGAGGGAAGGAAAGAAACACAAAAGACACTGAATTACATAAATAAAGAGATATTATATCTTTGCAAAAAGGGACATACATAATGATATCTACCATAGTTTATTTGCACAGCTATGTCAGTCATGCCTTGTAATGCAAAGAGAATTTTTTAACATCCATAGAGGACCAAGCAGTTTGTGCAGCACTTTACAATATAAATGGAGACAGTACAGTTATAATACAATAAAATACAAGAGCTCATAAGAGCTTACAATATAATAGGTTGAGTTATTAAAAGATGTCCTAATCATATTAAATAAGACCGCTATTTATCTGATTTTGAATGTTTGACAAAGAGAAAATATATGGGCAACATAAAACCTATCTTTGCAGTTCCGTTATTTAAAACCCCAGATTTCTTTATCTATATCCTACATTCCCTGTTCATGCTATAGCTACCACCTATTAAAAATTGTCATCTACTACATGGGGGTTAATTATTGAAAAAAGAAAAAACTTTTCACTTAAGCAGACCACAGACGGGGTTGCAGGGAAGAAATTTGCCCGATTCCCTCCCACCAAGCCATTGTATTCTGCTGGTGGGGGGGGGGGGGGGGGCAGGAGAAGCCAGTAATTGTTGCTAGCAGCTATAACAGCCACTAGCAATAATAGCATGTAAAATCCATCAGGCTGGTTGTACCCAAGTTGATCAATCGACGGGTACATTCAGACTACCCATACATGGTTCGAATGTCATCTGGTCCCTGATGAACCGGCCAAGATTTAGCCACAAACCCTGTGCAGAACAACAAAAAACAACAATAGCTATTTCATTTGTATGTGACTGATTGATTAAAGCTAAACTCCAGGAACAAAACCTTCATTTAAATATATTCCTAAAGAGTCACAATGGATATAAATCCGCATTTGTATCAAATGCCTTTGCAAACTTATGCTAGGTACACACGATAGCCCCAGGTACAAACGAGAGGTCACCATACTAACTAAGGGGATCTCCTCCACTGAGCTATTGTGTTTTGACAGGGGAACTGCCCCCACCAAAACACACTGATCAGCTCTCACAGCCTCTGTCTGCCAGCACAGATCGGATGCTGGTTTTCCAGCATGTCCGTTTGACAGAAGCAGAACGATAGATTGGGTTGTGTTGAACAGGCTGCTGTACACTGGCCAAATGTCAGATGGTTTCTGTTAAACTGGCCAATATTGATCGATATTCAGCCCATGTATACCAGCCTTTAGCTATTACCTTTAAACATAGTAGTGACATCATCACTGTGCTGTACATAGCCTGTGCTAAGAGGAGAGCTGTGGGAGGGACCTACAAGTCAACCCACTACAGGATGCCTGCAGAAAACTAGGGGGTGTAGACAAGACCAGTCACTCTGCACAATATGAGAGTGCAAGAGCGAATGGTCTTTTTACAGCAAGCTCCTGGCAAATAAAAAACTGACCTAAGTGCAAAATATAAATTGTAAAATATCTAAATATCTGATCAGCAGCACTCACAAGTATCTGAATACAAGATAACCACAAATATAAACACAAAATTGTTGCACTGTATGATTTCAATCTGTGCTAAATTATTATAAAATAGGTTACTAACAAAGCAAATGTGAAATCACCAATGTAAACAAACAATTTTTATAAAAACAAAAGTCCATATATCAGCCCAAATGTGACCATAAAAGTACAGGTTTGTTCCTGTGCACATCTGCTCCTGGATTAAATGTAAATTTTTCATGCTGGATTACTGTTCATATAGGAGATACACAAAAATCACACCAAGATTCAAATAGGAATACACATGCTTCTTGTATTTAGATAAGCTTTGCTTATGCCAGAGTTCAGCTCTGTTTGTTAATGTGAATACAGCTCCAGTTAGCTAAGTGAAAAATGCTGTCCTTGACTAAATCAACCTGTCTACTGCTAAATCAACCCTACATGCTTAAAAAATAATAAAATGTGTGTTAGAAGGAATGTCTGTAGTACAGGATCTAAACAGCACAGGGGTGCAATTATAAGTTTTATCCATTCCGTAGCATATTCTCACCATTCCTTCCCAAAAGAATGTGATTTCTTTTGGAAGTCTTCTCTACAGGAAAACTATAATACTCAATTTCTTTATGTCAGTCAATGCATTTCTAACTGATATTATGCATTTTTTTTATAACTGTACATTGTTTTTTCATAAATAAACATTTAACCTAAGACGCATGCCCACAGGAAAGAACAAAGTTGTTTGTCTTTATACTTTCCTTACTTTTCTTGCAAAGCAGGTAGGGTGGTGGAGGGATGAAGTGCTCTTCTTATTTGTTTAGCTGTGTGTACACTTCACCTTGAGCTATTGGGCTCTATAAGGATCCACGCACATTAGGTTAAAAAAATACTAGTTCCCTTGGCAGAAAAAAATTCTTATATATAGTGTTTTTGTACATACGTTTAGGTGCGTTTAGTGCTTTTTTTTTTGCCTGAAAACTCCCCTCAAAAACACAAACAAGAAGGGTTTATTTTTCTGCCTCTAAATGCTGAGCTTAAAAAATGCCTCATGTGCATGGACACATGGGATAACATTGAGCTGCTTCTACAGGTAAAATGCAAAACTGTAGGAGGAGCATTTTTAAGCCAATGTGCATGGACCCTAAGCAGTCTTTTTTTCCAGCAAAACAGGTAAGCTAAGGTCAGTTTGGAAAATATTTCTACACGAGCCTAGCTCCTGTCTATAGCCAAAAATACTAAATATTCATATGTGAAATGCCATATTTGGTTGACTAAAAATTACATAAGAAATTTAGTCCTGATCATATGAAAAGAAAATACAATTATAACCATTATACATTTCCTCTAATACTGATGTATATAAAGTATAGCTAATGTACGAACATAGGCTGGATCTGTTTAAAATAGGTTTTACTTATTTCTTAATTTTAATGTTGATTCTGTTTTACTGTATTAAGGCTATTCATAGAAATAAGATCATTGCAGTCCACTTTGATATAGCCTATGGACATTGTGTAACCTCTGCAGATTGCTGGAGAAAATCAGTTGTCAGAAGTGAAATTTCCCAGGCACATGCTATCAAGCACTAATATCAAGCAGCCACACCCCAAAAAAAGACCACAATAAATTCAGACACTCGTCATT